GAAGAGCATTTGGGACAGGCTTGTTGCATGCATGTGGTTTTTTACTTAAGTGACTGTCAGATAAATTTTTCTGAGGCAAATTTAGGTGCATAAATCCTCTTTTCTATGACATAAAGCATTCAAACACAGCTGAGAGACAGGACACCACTTTCCCAGAAAAACCTAAGTTTGCATCTTAAGGGGTTTGACTAGCAATGCTTTGTTGGTGTCATGTAAATAATGAGAAAATAATTCAGAATAAAAGTGGAAATTAATGCACACAGGTCACTGTTAGGTGTTATGTTCCAGAAAGACAGTTAAGGTCCTACAGAGACAGCTGCATTGGCCATGGTTCTGCACTACAGAAGCTTCCCCAAAATATTGTTCCAAAACAAGGGTGTAATGGTTCTGTTTCTATTGGAAGCAATATTTCCTTATCACCTAGCTGAAAAGATTACAGGAAATTCTGTGAGCAAGAAAGGGGAGAAACAGCAATCACAAACATATTGCAATTAAAGTAATAATACACTCTTCCAGCTAATTATATTGCCGAGGTTTTTCTTACCCACTAGCTCAAATAATTTTATGGGATATCTATTTGTGTGCTCTTGTTTCACACATTATTTGGTTAGTCAATCAGTTCTTTTGCACTTCTCATGTTTCCTGGATCTACATCATACTGAAGAGTAGCACATGGAAGAATTACCTTATTCTATATATATATATAGATATATATAGATATATATATATATATAAGAAATATCTGGGTTTGTATTATTTATTGGTTTTGCAATTTTGTGAAGCTGAAAAAAAACCTTCAGATTAGTTTATAATTGATCTGGTTCCCTCTAAGTGATGAATATTTAAAGTGAGCATGATTTTGCATAAGTATGAGAAAGTAATTTTAATTAACATAATGATCCTTCTCATTCTTAAAGCTTACATATTTTAACATTTTATAAAACGGCAAGGAAACAGACATGAGTGACTACTCTAAACAGAAATAAAAGCAGTTCCAAACTGCCTGCTCACAGTTCACAAGTTCTGTTTTTGCCAGTATTTGTTCTTACTGCTCTAGTTATACTAAGAAATGGCAGGAGGAGGGTTTACTTATGAGATAAAAAATTGTCCTGTATTTTTTCTCTTTTTCATGGACCCAGTGATAGCCTTGTACATCAACAAGAACTATTTGACCTTCTTCATTAAAATGCCTGGCATTATTTCAGTTCAATAATGGAAATAAACAATACATCAAATTTCTCCCATGCTTCACTCATAAATAAAGAAAAAACAGGCAGATGTAAACAAAAATTATGTAGACTTTCAGTTCTCCTCTAATGCTTTATACTTTGACTTTTACTAGTCCTCTGTTTTCCATCAGGAGTTTTCACCCCTAACAACAAAGCAATAATCCATAACAAAGTGTCTCAATTGTTGGTTCACCTCTTGTCAACAATTTTTTTTTTGCCATTGATCACTGCTTTCATCAACTCTTAATCCAAAACAAACACTTTGTTATCCTTTCTTTTATCTCCCACATAGGAAGAAAATCTAATTTATATAGCTATAATTTTCTCATCCTCAAGGATAATTTTAAAAATAATGCCACAGCTATTCTGACAATACAGAAATGGCTTAAGAAGGATATAGGACCATCTTCATCATGATTATCCTTTTCATATTGCTTTCAGTATTAGCCTGCCACACTTTATCAGCAATCACATTAACATCTCTGGATGAAAGATCAGCTCTATAAAGATACCTTGTCTCCAAAGATTTCTTTGATCATACCCAATTTTATTGACCTTATATCTTAAAGGTGAGCCCCTTGATTCAGATCCATAACATTAAATGGGAATTTAGTGTAATCCATACCATTGGCTAACAGAAAATCCTTCTGGGGATGGAAAACCGTTTTTTAATGTGTGTTTGGATATGTTTTAATTCTTTGCTGGTTTCGAAGAGCTGCTTTAATGAAATGAAAGAAAATAGAGCCTTTTGCATATTCTGATGAGTTTCAGGAATATTAGGCAGTTGCTATAAAGGTTTTATAAACAGTGAAACAAAGATACACTTTGTATAATGGATGCCAATATGGATCAGCATATCTGGAAAATCATATTTCACTCCCAGGTTCATCTGTTTTGTCTGAGTTCAGAATGCCTCCAAAACTTGGTCATAACATAAACCAACCTCGTACCTGAGCTACCCTACAGAACCTGGGCAGCCTCCAAGGTATTTCCCTATTATTCCCTACTATTCCCCTCCAAGGTAGCTGTCATTAAACCTTCCCAGAAAGAAGAACACAGGAGGAAGGAGCTAAGACCATCCACTGGGCTGTGAGGAGAGCTGTGAATTATGAGAAACACTCAAACCTTATGGCTGGCCTATGAGATAAATGGGAAGCAATCAAAAGGGAAAGGATACAAAGCACCACTACAAACACAGAGAGTTGTGAATGTCAAAAGCCAGTCAAACATCCCTCACTGATTTGTGAATGTTTGATTTTTTTTTTAGAAGAAAGTGAAAAATTAAATGTGTTTGTATTCCCAACTTAAATTAAAAATTAGCAAACTTCAGACTTGTTTGGATGAATCTCAGCTCCTAAATTTCCTTTAGTGAAAAGATATCTTTAGAGCCATATGTAAGAATAAAAGTAAGAAGTAAGCCATGTAAGATTAAAAAATACATTTAGGATGAAAATATGCATCTAATCCAAGTGAAAATTATTTTTTAAAAGGGCCATACTGTATTTGCCATGTCTAAAATATTAAATTTTCATTATTTGATCCCTGGAACTTTGCTGACTTCTGAACAAGAAAAGATGTCATTGAAGCTAGATAGTATTTAGATTGCACCCTCTTTCTTAAGAAATCATAGTAGCTTTCTTTGTCAAATGCACTGCTCTGTATGGGATCAAATTGAATTTTTTATGTAAAAGACGTGCTTGAAGATTTTTCACTTTACAAGAATTTATACTTGTCCAAATAATTTAAATACTGAGGCACAGTATTAGCTGTTTAAATCTGATCTGCCAGTAATTATCATCATTTATCCTTGGTTGTAAAAACTGCTTACTACACATCACACAGGCACTCTGATGAATCACTCTTTCAGAAGAGAAAAAAATGAAGAACAGTGTGCCATACTGTTATCTTAAAGGTTTAGGCTTTTATTTATGTTATTACTGGTTGACTGCAGAAAGCTCAGATAGATCCATTTAATTTGCTTCCTAAGAGGCCTCAAATTCATCTATCAATAATGGCATCAAAATATCATTGAAAACTATGAAAAGCCTGGTGTTAAAAATGATCTTAGTACCTATGGTGTAAAGCATTTCATTACCAGACTTCTTACTTGAAAAGATGCAATGCCCCAGATCAATGTGGCATGTGCAGCAGCCAGTGTTAATAAATTATTCCTATGAATAAAACAAGAACTAGACATCATGAATCTGCAAGACTTTCAAAATGCTGCCTCAGCTTGCTCACTGCATGTTTTGCTTGTCAATTCAACCACCATTTTGGAGGGAAATAGACCAGGTGTGTTTAAGGCAGCCCACTCATATGTGACCAATTAATAATAGCTAAATCTGTTACTCTATGATAAAAAAAGGATTTTTATCTTAATGGACAGCTATTCTCTAAAGGCTGAACAAAGTTTTATAATGGTATTTACAGTTCTCCAAAGAGGAAAGAATGTACACTGACAACTTCACATCTTTTTGCTTTACCAGATTTACCACTATCAGTTTGCAATATGGGAGTGTAAGTTGATAATATGCCCAGAAAATAAGTTATCTTTGACATTGCAATATGAATAAGTACAAAAATTTAAAAAGTAATTCTGTATTAGCCAATCAGTAAACACATGCTGTGCAATCTCTTTTTAACTGTTCCATTCCAGATCATCTCCTATTTTAAAATCTTTCAGAAATAATATCTGTTTAAAGGTCTGGACAGTAATTGCTGATATGAGACTACATTGATCAATGTGCAGAGCATGTGCACATTTGCATGAAAACTGGCCTTCCAGGAAGAAAGTAATGCATCTTGATTTACTTTTTACTGCTATTCACTTTTTCTGTTATTTGGCAGGACATTTTCTGTAGCACAGTATTCCTGCAAAGCCTCTGTTGGAACAGACTGTAAATGGCAGAGATGGGACACAAAAGCAAAGTGTGTCTGCCCTTCCAGCTGATCACCTGACAGACTGAAATTATAGCAACATCTGTAAGCTCATCTTTTACCACTTTGAACAGAGTACAGGTGAAATCCCTTCCCTCATCAACAGCAAAGTTAAACACACATTAGTCTGTCTCACGTTATGTCATAATTTTTAAATAACATTTTCCTTATGAAGGAGGATGACTTTGAACCCAAAATGGAATATTAAGTTTCCAAGGGGCACAATTTTGAAATTTGTTGTAGTGACTATGCCTAATAACAGAAATACTGGTGGTACAGCAGTAACAAAGCGTTCTTTCCTTACTATTTATATGTTGTACTGTTCTGTTTCAAGGAGAGGTATATTTTGAAAAGCTGCTGAATAAATTGATTTTCACTGTGTTCTCAGCAGATTAACAGTAAGTGGAAGCTATCCTTTCACAAAGCTTTATCACTTCTTTCGAAAAGTCCTCCCTCTTCAATCCATTCTGAGACCAATAGTGGCCAATAGTAGATGGGAATGCATCTTATAAACCTGCAGATAAATGTCTCCTGGCAATGCTTACACAGACTTATCTTTTTCTAACTGAAGACTTCGTGCAGGCTCTCTTTTAAAGGAGAGATTGTGCAAGCCTCACATCCAGGGCTAATGTAAAGAAAGGGAAGGTTCAGGTTCATAGGTGCTTGTAGCTGCAGACAAAAAGTTAAACAAATACCCTATACTTGCAAAATGGTAGAAATATGGACTGGGACCATTTGCCTAAACCTCACTCATTGTCATGGCAGAGCTGCACATCTGGTGAAGTACTTATTTGAAATTTTCCTAAAATAGTATGGCATCAAAACTATTCTTACCATCAGAGACTTCTGGGGTGTTGGGCTCATCCGAATCGACCGTGGCAGAATTCCCTGAGTCAGGCAGAGCAGTGGCATCAGGCATTACACCAATCAGCATCAGCTCTACCCTCTGTTCCAGTCTCTGCCTGGCTTGACAGCGGATCACAACTACAGAAAAGCAAATACATCTTATTTGCAAAGCACTGGCATCTTGATTTTAACAAAGCAATTAAACATGGAAGTAAAATGTGCTAAGAGAAAGACAGAATTCCAGTAATGAGCAAGACAACTAATAGCTTTTCCCAAACTTCACTTTCTATTGTTCTGTTGTGGTGGGTGAACTAGCAGAAAATACTGCTCCCAACATCACTTGTAAATTTCTCTCTTATCTTTAATCATGAAATATATTTTCATTTTAGTTTAACTGCTAGTAGGAATTATGGCATAGTTTGAAATATGCCAGAAAGAAAGGAAGACTGAAACAAATCCAAAAGAATAGAAAGTTTCAAGATTAAACGAAAGAATATTAAGTTACTCTTTGCTTTCTTAGTTTAAGAATACTGTTGTTCAAACTTGAACTTTAATAGAAATATGCCAGAATAAAAAGCATTCTTGCATGAGCTTCTGTTTGAAGCATCATAGAACTTCCTTCAGTTCAATAAGTGATTTTAATTTACTGCTTCCAAAGTATGTCTTTTCCATTACAAAGTTGTTAGATTTTAGCTTTTACACTAGTTTTTACAAAGATTATTTCAATAGCATTTTTTTCTGGTTCTTTTGTATTTATTTACACAGAAAAAGAAGAAAATTACACAAAAAGTGCTGAAAAAAATGTTTTCCCAAAGAAAAGACCTAGAACTTCCTAGGCAGCAGAGTTCCCTAGAGTTCTGGGAACCAACATGAAAAAGAACAACTGACCATGTACTTTTCAGTTTCAAGGTTAAAAAGTTATTTAGACTCTAAATCTACATCAGATTTAGACCCAATGTTTCTTCAAAAATTAACTGTGAAGTTAACATCAGGAATTAATGATCAATAATTTGGAACCGTACCATGCTAAATCATTTTGCAGTGTTTAAAAAAGAAGAGGAAGAAAACCCTTTTTTTGATATGTTTATTTAGATTCAACTTTCAGTTCTGGCACTTTATTCACTACCATTACTCTGCAAAATAGATAATAACACAGCAAGTTCAGGTAATTTCCTTTCTGCCTTGGTCTTTCCCTGTTTAACAGAGTGTAAGTAATTTGTAGAGATCTCACATAATTTCTATAAGGGAGACTTACCAAAATAGTTAAACACACATCTTTTTGTTTAAAAGATGACCTTACATTCTCTGTATCCCAGCAGTTTACCAAATGTTTCAGATTACTGTGTGCACATAGTGTCATTTTCTATTTTGCAGTTCATCTTACTACCAAAATTGATTTTACATTTTTTTTCCTAAATGGCTAAGTAATATTTATGAATAAAATTCAGATACAGCTAGGATTTGACTGGACAAGCCCCTGAGCAAGCTGCCCTTGAGCAGGTGGCTGGATTAGATGACCCCCAGTGGTACCCTCCAATTAAAATTGCTGTATGCTTCCTTGACTCTACATTCTACAAGAATTAAAAGAATATTCCAGATGATCCTCCATTTGTAATCACTTTTATAAGATAGCCAAGGTATCATCTACTTAACATGTACTACACAGGTTGTGACCACTGATCATTTTAATTGGTCTCATGAGATAGAAAGCCAAGTGACTTCTAGAAGTTTAAGTATATTAAGATGCAAATAAGAATGACCCAAAGATGAACTCCCTAATATACCAGCAAAACAGCTTGGGATTTTTCACAGAAACTTGTAGCCTCCGGGCAATTCTAACAAATGTCTGCATTAGAAGAGATGACAATATTCTTTTGATCATTATTAATTTTACTTTATTTTTTTTTAAGTAGATTTCTTGTTATTACCTGCTTTGGACTTATACCTTACAACATAAGTTCTCTAAATGCCCATTTATAACTGAAAACCATGGGCTTTCTGAGTCAAGGCTGGAATGGAAAATTTAATAAACACAAACACCTATTTCTGTTTTCTGGGACATTCTTGAAAGACCTAGTACTTTTCTGGGAAAAAAATATTAGCCCAGTATAACATGCTGATGGCCAAAAAATGGTATGTATTCAAAATTAATACAATGCTTTTTTATGTATTACAAACATTCATTGAACATATGAACATATGACTAACATATGAACTAATGGATAACATAGTTATAAATATGGTACAATTTAGTTTTGCTGTTATAAAAATAGTATTTAGTAATTTAAAATTACTTAAGAGTTGATAGTATGTCAGCTTCTGATCATATACAGAAGTGATGTCATTTAAGCAATCCATGAATGCTAAACATTTTAATTCATAGCATATACAGAAAGTACGTGTGCCCAGGGGGCCAAGAAGGCCAGTGGCACCTGGGCTGTGTCAGGAACAGTGTGGCCAGCAGGAGCAGGGCAGTGACTGTCCCCTGTACTGGCACTGGTGAGGCCACACTGCCAGGGCTGTGTCCAGTTCTGGCCCCTCAGCTCAGGAGGGACATTGAGGGGCTGGAGTGAGACCAGAGGAGGTCAGTGGAGGTGGGAAAAGTCTTGAGATTAAGTCCAAGAAGAGTGACTGAGGGAGCTGGGGGTGTCTAGCCTGGAGAAAAGAAGGCTCAGGAGAGACCATCTCCATCTCTAGAACCAGCTGGAAGGAGTTTGTAGCCAGGTGGGAGTGAATCCCTTCTCCCAAGCAACAAGTGACAGGACAAGGGGAAATGGCCACAAGCTGTTTACCACAAGGGAGATTTAGACTGGATATTGGGAAAAATTTCTTCATGGAAGAGGTGGCCAGGTGATGGAATAAGGTGCCCAGAGAACTTATAAGTGATGATTCCAGAGAACTGGGGGAATCATCACACCTAAAAATATTCAGAAACCAGAGATGTGGTGCTTAGGGATGTGGTTACTAAAGTAACCACTAAAGCACTAATGAAAGTGCTGGGTTAATGGTTAGACTCGATCTTAGAAGTCTTTTCCAGCCTTAATGATTCTGTGATTTCAATGAAAGCAACAGCCCAATAAAAGGGAGATTTATCATGAAGAGTGCCAGTGAATTACACAACAGCTTTAAATAAAAACAACAAACATCCACATTAATATACATAGTTCTAATGCTAATGAGACTCATTAAAGCCATCATTTTGGGCAACAGCTGATTACATGATAATATTCTGTTTCATTCCTTTAGGTATTAAAGTGCAAATTAAAGAGATGAAAGCTCTAATTAATACCACATCATTGCCATTTGTGTACAAGTAAAGGGTCCTTAAGCAATATAAATTAATGACAGTACAAATATCTATGTTTTTCCAGAAATTGCTCCTGTATCTTAATATATTTAATGTAGAAAGGTATTATATTCACTTATCCCGTCAACAAAAGGTAAGCTGAAAGGACAAGCTGGTATAGAATTGGTCCCACATCTACACATTGAACTGTAGTTTCAGGGTTATAGATTTAAAAAGCTGTTCACAACTTCCTGTTTCATAGCTCTGGAATAATATCACACCTTAAAAATACAGATGGACAAATATATAAGCATTTACTATCCCCAAAATAAGCATGAAACCTGCAAGAATGTCACTCATCTTTTAATGCAAGTTCACTTCTCAGGAGCAAAGGGAAAACTGCTAATCACACTGCTTTATATTCTGGTTTGGATTAAGACATGAAATTCAAGGCTGAGAGAAGCAGTGAACAATATTTTGCACCCTGCAGACTCTCCAGAAGGGTTTTCTGGGAATGAAAGAAGAAGTCTACCCTTGAGTCCTTTGTTCAGCTTAAATTCTCAAACTCAGGATTAATTGGGACACTGAAGGGCACAGGCCTTGAGATTTACAACTGCCCCCTACTCCTTTTATCCACAATAAAAACAAAGTAATGATCTAGATTTGATCTAGATTTGCTTTGGAAGTCGGAGTAGATTTTAATATGTGATTTTATCTTTTTTTTTAAGATATAGCCAAGTACTGCTGGGAATTCTTGTGATCAAGCAGATGAGAATAAACTGACTATTCAATTTTCTTAAATACTCTTAAATATATTATTCAAGCTTTTTCCAAGCATAACCTACCTGATTTCTGCTGTGGCGCTTCAGGTGTTCCATTAATTGGATAGATCCAAAGTATTCCCTGAGTTTCCCCATTCTCTGCTACAGTAACATTGCTAGAAAAATAATAGTATCATTTAGGATGCTGAAAATTCTGTTTCCAAAGTAATCTAGACTTAACAGTAGTTGGAAAGGTTAGACTCTATTGTATGCTGTAATGCTAACCATATCTGAGAAAAATATGGAATAAAATCCAGTTAAAAATATCAGCTATAAATTATATCAGCTATAACTCAGATCCACTTACTGTATTCAAATATTATAGATCTGAAAGCATTTGGCCTGATCTGCATTCTCTCAGGCTATCACTGAAATGAATTTTCTGTAGTTCATGAATTACATAAAAATATCAGGATGAGAATCATTTTTATCCCAAATATATTGAAAAAACAGAGGTACCTAAGAGCTTTCATTTGCTCAATATCCATAACTGCACCAGCAGCCAGTGTTTTACATTTTCTTTATTTAAAGCAAGAATAGGTAGGTATTATAACACACAGAAACTTTACCCTGAATTTGCATACTTTTGCAGGGTACATTGAAATCTATTGAGGGATACACACTGACCTCAAAATCAGACACTGGACTGCCCTTGGGAGCTACACACGAATAGTCAGTGGGATAAATGATGATAGGATTTAGCTTCCTCAACTACTTTTTCCTTTCCTATTAGAATAAATTACCTGTTTAAGTCTTTATTTGATCCAGCAGTAACCTCATAAGGCCAGTTTTCACCGTTTTCCCTCATTACATGAATAACCAACACTGCTTTATAAATTTTCATTTCAGCTGGCATGAATAACACGGGGATTTCCAGTTTTTCTTTTGGAGCTAAATGGATTCCTGCAAGATGGAACAGATTGTTGTGGTATTTTGAAAGTTTTCAAAATATTTACTATCATTTTACTCATATCTTTCCCTTTTACTTTTTTAATTACTGTTTAACTTTGCCTCATATTCTATGGTTTTCCCTGTAAAAAATTACATTTTACCCTACCTTTGCTACATAATAAACCAAAACAAAACTACAATTAAGTGAACATCCCACTTAACATCCTGTGTAACATATGCATGTCAGTCCCATGATTTTACAGGGCCTAAGTCAAGTTTTTTTCAGCTGTGGTTTACATCTGTGAGTAACAGAGCATAAAAAAAGTCAATCCAAAAACAAATGCTCCCATTCAAGACAACTGTAATATGTTTAAAAGAATCTTTATTATTATACAAACCACGCCTTTTCCATATGATTTTTTATCTGATTGATTTTACAGTTAAAAATATAACTAAACTAATGTTGTCTCTTAATGAAGGCAGCCTGGTATTTTGAATCTTTAAGGGCCTTTTTCCAGTGACTTGCCAGTCTGCAAAGTGTCAGAATTCTACCTCAGCTATTTCAGAAATAATCAAAAGATTACACAGAATAGAACAATCAGTCTGTTAACTATAAAGCTCTGTTTTTTAAAAATCATTCTTGGAATTTGCAGGAAATGGCACTTCAGGTTTGGGGCTTCATCTTTAATTTTGTCTGCAGAAAATCCTCTTCTTATGAGTAACTACTTCTACATTAGGCTTTGAATCAGTTTTTGTGATAGTATTTCATGCTTTCTACAGTGAATACAATCTGACACAGTTCTGTGGGTATCAGTCCCTGAGAATGACTGGATCTGCTGGAGTCACCTGCCTGGGACATGCAGAACGCTCCTGGGGATTCTTTGATCATCACCAGGGTAATTTTTCCTGCTCAAAAAATGTCAGCAGGGAAACTTTACCTGGTGCCACAAATGGTCACCATCCTACAGCCAAAACTCCTCCAGGGTGAAGACCTCAGTGCTGAGAGTTGTACAAGAGTGGGTAACACAGTCTTGGGAAGGATGAAATACAAAATAAAGGGGATGCACAGAAGTTTGGGAATGAAGGTGAAAGTGTAGGGAGACTGAGTAAAATGATGTCAGACAGGAATACAGGAATGGCCAGAAAGACAAAAAAGTTTCAAGTCATATCAGAGGAGAGAAGGATTTGAAAAACAGCTCTTCAAAACACAGCATAAGAATCTGGACTCCCCATCTGTGCTAATTCCCCACCAGAATTTAATTATAAAGTCTACAGGTGTCAAGTTTTTTGCTAGAAACACTCTTAAATTAAAATAAACTAACCAAATTAAGATGGGAAAATCAATCTTAAGTTAGGTAAGTCAGGAATATTTAAAACCACACAAGGATTTCTACTTCTCCCAGTTAAAAAGGCCCCAGGACATCAAACACAGACAGACCACTGCCTCACTTTATTATGAATGTGTAAAGCTGTAGGAAATTCTTACCTAAACATATTTGAATTTGTGTATGTAAGGTTTATCATATTCTAATTATGAAAATTAACCAACTGCTTTGCATTTGTGATTGCTTAATTCTTGTGTATTTGTGGAGGTTCATCATGGTAAGAGCAATTTGCCTTTGAAATAATTACTTGAAAAGTTTTGTATCATGAAAGAGCTTGAAAATATCCTAATTAAAAATCCATTAAAATGTTAATATCTAAATGAAAAAAATAAACTATACTTTTTCTCATTTTGACAAAGATCTAAGATTTTTCTTTAGATCTTTGAGGCATTATCTATCAAGCCCATACCCAGATTTAAAAGATATATTATATACACCCATATTGTTGGCAAACACATGGTCAAAGTGAAAATCTTTTAAAATTAGCAACTCATTTTTAATCCAATGTCTGAAATAAATAAGCTGGTATCAGGCATAGTTGCAATACTCCTGAAGACATCTGAACTGGGATCCATCCCTCTGGATCAGAAACCCTCTGCAGCTCTGACCCAATGTTGTCTCCCAGTGAAAGAAGAGTCAGCTCTCTGCTGGGGTTTTCCCACTCTGGGTTCACTCTGGTCTAATTAAGACATAGGCATGCAATATCTTTAAAACAGAAGAGTCCACTCCAGGATATATTTGCAATTAGATTGCCTTGAATCCACAGATACATGGATAGCAAAATAATGTAAACACTTTGTAACACCATTACAGCACATCCTTAAGTTTCATTTGCAAAGCTTTTAACAGATGGCAAATAGAACAGACTGTAAACTTATAACTAGCTCTATACACTACATAGATATTTTGAACTGTAGCTTAATTATGCCTGTTACAGGACAGAGCCCCTTGTTTTTTTTAAATAGATTTTAATACAGAGTCCATATGATAGCATTCTGGGTCATTCTGGCAGAAAATTGGTTATTAAAGATCATGAAAAGACAAATTTTATAATATTGCTGTTGAAACAGATTTTATTCACATTTTTAATAAAAAACCTTCTTAATAGAAGATGTTCATAATGATGGTAATTTTTATATCACCAGGCTTGCCTGCAGCTGTCAACTAACCAAGTGATCATTAACTGCTAATACCAATTTATTTCATTATGATTTTGGCTAGTTAATAAGATACATAAAGTAGGCCTAACAGCAAAAAATAATTTGCTTTTATTTTTCCTTTCCCATTTAGAGAATTTGGGCTAGCACACAGGAAATAGCTCTTGTGTATGACTTTAATAAAAATCAGTGTTGCCAAGCAAGTTCCTCCTATTTGCCTGGGGACCCCAAGTCCCTGCCAGGGATACAAAAAGCTAATACCAATGGCTGACCCCTTGTCTTTGTGTGTTTATACTGCAATGAGTATCCACAAATTCTTTGTAAGAAATCCACAGCAAGTCCCTTTTCTGAATACAGGTACATCACGTTTGGTAAAAAGCTTTGGGGCAGATTTTGATAATACCCCATTCCTCTTTCACTGTCCTACAGCACATCCAGAAACAATTAAATTTAGCAGAATAAGCTCACTGATGCTTTAAAGACTGAAGGCATCTGACTCAAACCAAGGTCTGCAATTTGAGTCAACTGCCTTGCAAAGAAGTGTGTGGAGCTCTGCATCCTCCCCCATTTCATTTTTAGGAAGTCTTTTGTTCAGCCTTGCCTCTAGCCTCCCCAGAGGCTGCTGGAGAACATTGATCCTGTAAAAGATTCCTCAGGCACTGAGCCTAGAACTCAGAACTGGATTAGATAATAAATCAAAATGAGTGTATTTCATATTCCTGACTACAGTTCTTTGGGACACTGCTCTGTGGTTGAGTTCTGTGTAACTTCTGTGTCAGCCCTAGAAAGCTGAGCACAGTGAGAGTTAAAATTACAGCAGCAGTGGATGTCCATAGCTGGGATGATATTTGGAAGGAATACAGATAGGTAAAGATGCATTTTTTGCTTCTACAGTAGATTAAGAAAAATGATAGTAGTAAGCATACCAGGCAGTGCCATGGTAATAAAATTGTGATGTCAAGGAACAAAATATTCTGCAATATCTCATCCTCCCATTGAACTTTAACCTAAAACCATGTATTTTTCATATTATTAAGGTGCTTTGTGGGTAGATTTTCTAGATGTTGACCTGCATCTTCCTGATGCACTGCTTTTAATTCTGTAGCATCTGAGTGTCTCCCATTGATTTTACCCAGAAGAAGAGCACTCTGTTCTGTCCTTTAATTGAAAAAGATGAGACAGAACTCAGAATATACTGTTGAAGTCTCATGGAGAATCATTTAGGAGGGGCAATTTTTATTTTTTAGTTTTCTTGATAGTTTCTCCATTAAAATTACAATAGCAGCATTTCAATGAAACCCACAGACAGCTCTGCTAAATTTAGCACTGGCCATGTAAATGTCAACCCAGTATAATTAGGTCTGTTTTCTCCTATTTTCTCCTATTATCCTATAGGAAAGGGCAACCTCCAAAATATTCGTACACAGCAGCTGCCACTGGGGAATTACTGCTAATTCCTTCTCAAAGAACTCATCCAGAAAAGGAGAATTGATATCAGATAGTAAAGAGTGAGATGTTGCCAGCACACCAATATCTGAAATTCATAAAAAACTCAGGCCTAGGTATTAATTTATTTTCATCTGCTGGAAGAGATAAAATCCTGGGTCACATATGAAAACTAGGATCTTTTATAGCAGCTCTCCCAGAAGTGTATCATTGCTAAATCCCAAGAGTTTAATAAAGAACAGACAACATTTCTGCCTGGACTCTTATTAAGGGTGGGCTCATTTTTGTTTGTGTATTTTTCTTTTTTTTTACTGCTTCAAATGATGCTGCTTGAATTTTTTATTCCCTTTCATTAAAACACGATCACAATCCCTTGTTATGGATTCTAATTAAAAAACTGTGAAAGCAGCAGCCTGTGTTAGTTTTGCTACATCAGTATCATAATTATTCAGTCTCAATGAGCAAATATAAATAAAATTTTCTGAATTAGCAGTATCATACAATAGCCAACAGCCCCCATCCATGGAGATATTCAAAATTTGACTGGACATGGTCCTGGACAACCCAGTGGAGATCATCCTGCTTGAGCCACAAAGGGTTTGGATGGACAAGGTGATCTCAGAGGTTCCTTACCACCTAAACAGTTCTATGATTCTGGAATTCTGAGGTCATGATAAATCACTAGGGTTTGTCTTGTTTCTCTTTCTAAGAATTCATTTAAAATGCATCCTTGTTTGCAAAACCAGACACAGATACTTTTCTCAGTGAATCCCAGGTGATAAGAAAAACAGCACACCCCACAAAGGGAAAGCACAATGGCAAGAACTAGAGATCACCCTGACATAACAATTAGATTTTGGGTGCAATTACAGGAAAAGAAGCAGGATACTCCTATTTGCATCTTCTCTGGGACAAATAAAATGGAACATTATGCACTTCAAGGTATTTCAAGTTCCATACAAATAGGTAAGTAAAAGAACTAATAAAATAACCATGAAAAATACCAAAAATTAAATTAGTCTCA